AATTATAGCTAAAGAATACTTTTAACAGTCACTCTTAATCTTGTTAATGTTTCTCATTTCCAGTTTGTGGTCTTGATTATTTAATTCAGCTTTTAGTTAAATTTATTAAACTCTACTCAGAGTCAGAGTTGTTGGAACTCAAGGCAGAAATCAGGAAAAATCTAGAGGAAAATATGGGATCCTTGGGAGTATTGCCCATTTATAGATCTTTTTTCCCTTTTATAGAACTGATAAAATACATTTCTGTCATTTAAACCACCCAATCTGTGCTATTTTCTTGTGGCAGCAAACTAATAAATATATAGTGAACCCTATACACATGGTACAATATTATTCAGCTACATTAAAAGATTTGCACATCAAAATTAAGTTAGGTTTTAAAATCAAAATCTAAAGCAGAAGCAACATTCCTAGAAAAAGATGGTACTTTATATTTTCTTGCTGATAAAATATGCTAACAATTGAATAACAGATAGGAGTGAAATAGTTCCTTCTAATGAAATAGTATTGTTTTTTAAATTTAAATGTTTGCAGATTAGGTTTTCTTAAATCAGAGCATACTTATTTTAATAAGAGAAATTTCAGGAAAATAATATTTTTACTAAGGCAGAGGATTTATCAGATGAAGAATCAAATTTGCTTCCACTCTCAGAACAACTATTGACTAAATTGTTCTTGAACTATTAAAATTCAAATGTAGAATTAGGCTTAGAAACATAGTCCACATTTTTCACAAAATTGGTGAAATTAGGGATGGAATTGGCCTATTTGCTTATCCTAATAAAAAAATGTGTCTTTCTTTTGGATGTGTGGGTTTTTTGGTAACTGTCTAACCTACTCTGACATTATAAAACATGGGATTTGAAATGCCTGTCTCTGAAATGAAGGCTGAGATAAAACAAACACATATTGAGGATCTTCAACTAGTGGTATATTATAAACTGTTTAGAAGCTCTGCTTAACAATGCCTTTACTCATTTAGTAGGTATTTACTGAGCTCCTCTTAATTCTAGAACATTGGTGGCAGAAATTGTGGGGAGAATAAAAATAAGGTATCTCTGGCCTAAAATAACATGTAGACAATAGTAGATCACATGTTTATGTGTAATCAGTGCAGTACAATTGGTGTAAATTGATATGAGTTCCAAGAAGATCAAGGTCACATCCAGATCAGGTCAGAAGATATTTTGACTGGACTGGAGTGCAGTGGCCACTCCCAGCCACCGCATCCTCGACCTGCTGGGCTCCGGCAATCCTTCTGCCTCAGCCTTCCAAGTAGCCGGAATTACAGGCATGCGCTACCACGCCCGGCTGATTTTTTTTTGATTTATTGTAGAGATGAGGTCTCGCTGCCCAGGCGGGTCTTGAACCCGCGGGCTCAGGCAATCCACTTACCTCAGCCTCCCAAAGGCGTGGGATTACAGGCTGAGCCACCGAGCCCAGCCAGAAGATATTTCTATACAGAGATAGAATTTGAGCCATGGGAAGCCAAATGTATGAGGACAGGAGGACCTTCTTCATTGGGTGGTGCTGAGACAAGGAAGGCCTAAAGTGGGTACAGTAAGCAGTATAGATTGACCTGTGGGGGATCTTAATATCCGAAGCCTAAATCGGGGCACATGTTTGACAAGTATGAAATTATATAATGGCAAAGGTAGAATTGACAAGTATGAAATTATATAATGACACCAGCATTACCATGGGGATAGTAGTGTTTAGTGTGCCAAGGGTAAGTTAATTCATCTCTATTGAGTTTACTTTTTACTAACTTCTTGTTAGGAATGTTGTAGCTTCTGTTAGTTTTTGATATCTTGCTGTACTTTTCCATGTGTTAGAATATATTTTACAAAAAGTTTGTATTGCAGATTCTTATTCTTTGAATGTGAGATAGAAAGTCACATTGACATGAGTAGTTATTTTAGAGTGTAGTGTACACTAACAGATTCAGCCTGCCAACCTAAATAGTGTCATTCTGGCAAATAATAGGTGACAGCATGTGTGTGCTATTCTGTAGTGTCATTCTGACTTAAACAGACAGATATAGTTGTGATATGGTACAATGTTTTCGGCCATAAGAAGCCATCTTTATGGCTACAAAAAATACCCAGAAAGACTTTTTAGATGTAAAGGGAAGCTGTAGCTTTCTTATTTTCTTTAACATTAAAAAAAAAAAAACTTTTGCCGTACTAGTATATTAGTCATCTTCCCCACCCAAACGGGTGCATAGTTATAAGTTTTTAGAAGCATATAGCTATTTTGAGGGGAAATATTCCCACATAAAGTAATCATTGGACTATAGTAGAACCTATAACTTATTTGGTTCCTGCCAATTTATTTCTTCATTTTGAGCAAGAGCTAAAAGCAAAAAAGTACCAGACTATTGTGCTCATGCCTCAGGTCTGTCATAAATGCCACTTTTTCTCCCAAACATACTTTCTACCTATGGAAAGACATTTGATTTTTCTCTCTGTGGACCACATTCCTGATCCTGCTGTCACCATCCCTTAAGACATGCTCTCTCTTCTGTGCTGTGTTCTAGCTCACTGCTTTACTTCTCCTGTAACTGTTTGCTGGCCATATTGTCTCTGCTGCCATGTCTGTCCTACATATTTCTACCTCTATGGGGCTGCTGTTTCTGCTGTGGTGGCTTCAAGAGCAATAAACCATCCAGTTACACACTAAACCCACCACACAGCCCAAGATGGGCTAACCAAAGAAGGGGGTGCCACGTGAACTCTCTGGACAAGCAGACAGACCAGATTGTCATGTAAATTACATCCTCATCAATTCAATTCATTGTGGTTGTACAAATTTTATAGTATTTTACTGTTGTTGTGTGTGTATTTATGTATTTTCATGTTAGTTTAAGATAATAGTGCAGAAAAGACTGATCAACGGGGAGCTTGATAATTATCCTTCTGAAGGATAATATGCTCTGTGCATTTCTCATGAAATTATGTAAAATTAGTACATTTAAATCTAAGTAGAACTGTAAAGACATATTTCTATTAAACTTAATTTAGGTAGATAGAATAATGACAAGTAATTGCTATGATGAATTCAGGTTTTATTTTGGGGGGAACCAAGTACTAGTAGAATCGTTAAGATATTATAATCCTTTCTGCCCATGAATTTATTGGTTTAGACACATTATCCCTCTAGTCCTCTCTACTTCTACTGCCTTTTTTCAATTTGTAGGGAATATATCCTAGTTACTTTCTTAGAAATGCTGCCTACCCAGCTCGTGCTAGCACATTTAAATTTACTTTCCTGAATCATGTTGCCAAAAAACAACATAATTTCAATGAAACCCAGAACATTACATAGATATTATGTTATTCACTTATACAACTATTTAAAAAGCAGACTGAATTCCCATTTAACACAATTTAAAAGCTAGAAAAAAACTACAAAAATATTACATGTTTTATTTAGTAGTACAACCCTCATTTCTTTTTCAGAATGACTACTAAATTTAATCCTTTGCACTTGAATGTCCCCTTTGGGGGGACATCATAAATCTAGCAAACCACTCTGATGTCCCCTCTCAGGGGACACAGAGATCACTGGTGATTATACAGGATGAACTTATGCAAGTAAACATTTTTTTAAATGTGTGTTTCCTTGAAGTTTTCCATTCAAATGACATGAAAAAGCAAATAGATGGAATATATACTGAGATATGATCGATCAGTTAAAAAGTGGTTTTCAGGAATCACAAGTGCATCCTTCCACATCTGCGAACAACAGACTAGATAATAAATTACATATTATTAATGTGAGAGAAAGAAAATAAGACTGCATTGTCTGCTCGAATAGAAAAACACCAGGTAGAAGGTGTCCAACAAGTTATTGCACACCATATATCAATGAATCTGTAATACATGTTGGTAACTGTTTCAATGTTACCACATGTTAGAAAAATATGAGATATACAATTTTGATTTTTTTATCATAAATAAATTCTTCAATATCCAAAATTTCATTATAAGCAAAATGTCATTATAATAAAATAATTGGTTCCAATGCTATACTATTTAATATGAAGTGATGTGTTTTTCACTATTTCTTTCTTTTTTTTTTTTTTTTTGAGTTGGAGTCTCACTCTGTCGCCCAGACCAGAGTGCAGTGACTGCTCCCAGCCACCGCAGCCTTGACCTGCTGGCCTCCGGCGATCCTTCCCCCTCAGCCTTCCAAGTAGCCGGAATTACAGGCATGCGCTACCACGCCCGGCTGATTTTTTTCGATTTATTGTAGAGATGAGGTCTCGCTGCCCAGGCGGGTCTCGACCCCGCGGGCTCAGGCAATCCACTCACCTCAGCCTCCCAAAGGCGCGGGACTACAGGCTGAGCCACCGAGCCCAGCTTTCACTATTTTTTAAAACAGTGCAGTTGAGTTGCTGGTAGGTGATCCAAGTGATTCAAGTACAAAGGGTTAAATTTAACTTTTTTACATGGAACCAACCATGTTGCCTATCAAAGCTGGACTGGATTAAAAAATGTGCCATATACACAATAGAATATTATGCAGCCATAAAGAGGGACAAACATAAGGACTTCTTAGCAACTTGGATGGATTTAGAGTCGATCATACTAAGTGACCTATCACAGAAACAAAGAACAGAGTACCTTTTGTTCTCACACATAAGAGGACCTTGAACAGTTATAACACTATAAGAAAGTGTTTGGCAGTAATGGGCACCTATCAGGGGAGGGAGGTTAGGATTGGCAGTTGAGGGAAACTGCTAGGGGAAGAAGGGGCATACCTCATCAACAAGGGTACCTGCATAATCAACGTTTGTATACCTAAACCTGAATTGTACCCCACATCCTTATAATAATATAAATAAATAAATAAATTTAACTTTTAAATGTCACTATAATCTCAGAAAAGTCATCTTGGCTTTGAGCTACTAATTTTCTAAAATAAACTAATCAATTTTGGGAGAAATATTTTATGATTCGATGTTGTCTAGTGTAAACTTTGAATTTTCTTTACAGAAATAGACATACTGAATAAAAGCTTGACAGTGTCCCAGAGAAATAAGGTATGCCTTGAAGAGGAAATGAAAAATCTGAAATTGTTGTCAGATGCAGCCATACTGAGGTCTCAGCAGATTCAGACATCTAAACAACAGGGAGTAAACTGGCAAACCAGATGCTATAACTTGCAAAAAGAAGTACTAGGTAAAGAAAAATCTTTTTTGCTGTTGTTAGCAACTAGCTATATAACTACAGAAGGACATATCTACATTTTTACAATCATGACAAATTTTATTTTAAATATTTTGTATTGCAAATGGGCCTAATTATTCATAACTATGGTGATTACTGTGGCTGTGACCAATATTTGCTGTCATCCCTTACTATTTTGCCATTTAGAATTGATATATAAAAGACATTCTAACCACAAAGTAAGATTTCAGAGGAAAACAAAACAAAATGGAATTACTTTGGTATGTCTGTGTTTTCCTATGTTTCTTTCTAAAAGTGAATTTTTAGTTAGTACTTCATTTTTCAAGTAAAAGATTAAAAATGGTGTTTAGAGCATCACAGGCAAGGTTTTAAAATTTGTCTCTACTTCAGAGAAATGAATAGCTTGCCAGTAAGTCTAAGGAGTGTGTGCTTTAAGGCAGCAAGGAATCATTTAAATTGGTAATTGGGAGAATGATATCATGAAAGGAGTGTTTTAGAAAAATTAATCTGTTAGCGGTGAATAAAGGTGTTTTGAACATCAAGAGACTAGAGCCAAGTAGTCATTTAGAAAATATCTTTGCCAGTAACCCAATCCCAAGGTTAACCAAAGAAACTAAAGTAGGGAAAGGCACTCATATCTTTTTAGGCCCTAACTATGCTAGACACTTTATATAAATTACTTTTGTCGGTTCTTACAGTGACCATGAAAAACAGGTATAATTATCTTCTCGTCTTACAGAGGAGAGAACCAAGGCCCAGAAAGCAACATGTCTAGTACCGCATAGCTGATAAATGGCAGAGCGTGAGAGCAAACCTAGTTGGACTTCAAGGCTCGTGCTTGTGTCACTGTGTCTGCTTGGCCTTCTTCATGGTCCAGTGAGAAAGCTAAGATAGAATCAGGGTTGAGATGACTACCCAAGACCAAGGTTGTGATCAAGGGAGAGAAGGAAGTGCCAAAGGGCTCTGAATCTCCTGTGCCTGGGAGTCTGTAATGATGGGAGCATAATACAGACTAAGGAAATCTGGGGTGAAGCTGGTGTTGAAAGATAAGATAACAACATGAATTTGATAGCAATTTGAAACCAGCTACAAATTTTAAAATCAGATAAAATTAAAAATAACCAGATATTTTTATTTTCTTTTTTGAGAATTACCTATTCATAGAATTTGGAAATTTTTATTGCACTATTGGAATTTTCCTTGATAACTTTTAAGATCACTTTGTATATTATAGATATTAATTACTTATATTCTATATTCAATTTTTTTTTTTTTTTGAGTTGGAGTCTCACTCTGTCACCCAGACTGGAGTGCAGTGGCTGCTCCTGGCCACTGCAGCCTCGACCTGCCGGGCTCCAGCGATCCTTCCGCCTCAGTCTTCCAAGTAACTGGAACTACAGGCATGCACTGAAACACCCGACTAATTTTTAATTTTTTGTAGACAGCCGGGTTCGGTGGCTCAGCCTGTAATCCTGCGCTTTGGGAGGCCGAGGTGAGTGGATT